AACAGAAATTCACATTCATTTCCTGCTCACTGGCATTATGGTAAACAATAAATGAATACAAGAGTACAGTAAATTCAATTCAAAGCAGGAGGCAAAAAACGGAAATGAAATTGTTGGAAACGCCCATTACTCATTATGACTATAGTTACTGTAAGATTTGGGAAGAGAGTTAGGCATTGAATTAAGCGTTCATTCGAAATACTTGTCAATTAGTATTATTACGTATAGCAGTTTTGCCTTCTATACTAAAACATGTATAGAACGGTAGAACAGACAAAATGTATCAGTGAACTAGAATATATCTAGTATGTAACTCATTTAAAAACCGGCTGACGAAATTATACAATATTATATAGAACATGAACAATATACACATAGAAGGTCATGTACAATGAATGATAGCAGATTGTCATTCATTGAGTCTGAACGTGCTAGTCGGGTGACACAGTTCGTGTCTGTATTCGTAACCATGGTTATAAACTTTGCTGTTTGCCTTATTGCCGCTGTTTATAATTGAGCATACATTCAGCAACAAATGTAGTTTACATTGATTATGTTTCAATAAAGAAATGATTAGGAGCTGTAGTCCTGAACGTAAAATTTGATATGAGGCAATCATAATGTCAGGTTAATTGTTGTCTATTTCTAAATTAATATGGTTAAAACAAATAGGGCCAAGCAATAACAAGAGAGAGAGAGAAAATTTTTTAGTATGAATAATGATAAAAATAAAGTTATAATCATTATCAAAATATTACTAACAACGACGATAATAATAATAACAATACTGAATTGGTAAATACAAATATTAACCAAAGTGTAACCAAAGGCATGAGTGTCTTTTTGATTGTGCATTTTGTTTTGTTTGTATGCGTGTGTGTATGTGTGCGTGTTTATGCGGGTGTGTGCGTGTGTGTGTGTGATTGTGTGTGTGTGTGTGTGTGTGTGCGCGCGTGTGTGTGTATGCGCGCGCGTATACACACTATTTTATTTCTAAGATTTATTTGTATTGTTTGGAATCAATAAAAGAAAAATATTTAAAAAGAGAAGAACAAAAAAGGTATATGTATGTGTGTACATGCAAATTGGTGATATGTGTGTGATACAGTAGAGAGAAAGAAAATGGAGAGATATGCAGAGACAAATCAAAACATTACGAGAGATACAAAAAAAAAAAAGGGAGATGGTGTGTGTGGGTGAATGTGTGTGCGCGAAAATATTTACGTTTGGGTGTGATTTGAGGTGTTTGTATGAGGTGTGTGATACATAATATCGAAACATGAAGATATATACAGAAAGAGAGAGGGAGGGGATCGAGGGATGAAGGGGGACGGGGTGGGCCATTTGGCTTCTTTTTTTTTAAGGGGGGGGGGCTTTTTTTGTTGCTCCGTCAATCAACAATAATTCTTCAAAAAGATGTATCAACCACAACTAGGAAAATGTTGACATGTTTTACATCTACTCGTATTTTCTGTTTTGCAGCATAATTTAACATAAACCAATGTCAGAGTTCATTCAAATGTATCTAGCAACGAACTTTTAGTTTCATATCCATCCGAGTTGTATCTCAATAGTCTAGATGCAAATTTCATTCATAAGTTGTTGCTACATTGTGCAAATATTATACCTTGTCCTACCTCACACCAGGTTATGTTTGCAATTCTGACCATTGGAAAACAATGATCGTAACGAGGACTTAACAAAGATGTTTGCATTTTGTATTCAATTTCTATGGCGACATTTCCTGGCTAACTAGAACAACATAGTAGGACTTTCGCATCCTTAACGTCTTCCCCAAACGAAAGAAACATGGCATCTGCAAACACGTCACTCAGAACTAGAATTAGCATAAATTCCATATGCTCTATGGTAGATGTGAAATAAGCTATGGTGTCTTCTTAATTAAAAGGAAAACAATTGAGCTATCCCCTGGTTTGTCGATAAACCAAGCTCTTACTTTGGGACGTGAGTCAGTCGTCTGTTATCTAAGTGATATATCATATGTCTCAGACACTGTAATCCCTTTATCCAGATCTATCTCAATCCTTTTGCCTAAGCTTATATGTATTAAATCCATGAACCAACAAGCATTACAAATCCCAAGCCCTGACGTTTAATCTTTCTGTTTGATTGTTCAACTTGCTTTAAATTGTCATAAGACGATATAATTTTTCAATTTGACATAATAGTTAACATAACTCCAACGTAATAAGAATTAGGGTACCTGAAGTACAACAATATATCCGACATGCAACATGCGATTTTCGTAACAAGATAAAAGCCATGCTGTTTTAATTCATTCCCCTCCGATCTGTGTATGGTCAAAGAAAAACATGTAAAAATGGATGTAATTAAATTACTTTACTTTACTTCTTTGAAAAAGATCTGAAAAAATATACCTCTACAATTCTTCTTCTTCTTCTTCGTGCTCTTATTACTATTGGTATTATTATTAGCAATTAAACAGGTGACAGTAAGTTATATCAAGGATATGGTTATAGGTGATATGAATCAAAATGTAATAGAACGACAAACGGATGGCGAAGGAATAAAAAGAAAAGTAATTTGGGTCATTGAAACAAAAATGCGTTCGATCCAAATATTGGTCAAGTGAATGGTCCGTAATAGGTATTAGAGTTACAGGCGTGCACTACCACGTTCTTGAACGGCAGCTGACTGTGTTAAATAAGGAATCTAACATAAGAAAACGAGAGAGAGAAAGATAGAGAAAGAGAAAGAGAGAGAGAGAGAGAGAAGGAGAGAGAGAGAGAGAGAGAGAGAGAAGGGGGAAGGGGGAGGGGATAGGATAACACAACAAGATTTGAGACAAAAGGTCTTAGAAAGAGAGACAGGTGAGAAAAGGTGAGAATAGAGATAGAGAGAGAGAGAGAGAGAGAAGGAAACAGACTGAGAGACAATAAATGTGGGTGGCAGAGGGCTTTAACCTAAATGTATAAATATTGAAATCTGCTTAGTCTTCTTATTTTTTTTATTTTCTTGTTAAAGAAGAAGAAAAGAGAAGAGTTTATACAGATAAATGATGAAAAGGAAAAGAAAGGAAGGAGAAGAATGCAACAAGAAAATGAAAGGGGATATTAGCAATTAATCATAGGTTTCATGCTTTGTACCACAAATGAATCCGATGAATTGAAATAACTTTGGAATATTCCATGTATAATAAAAATGCAATTTCATGGTGAGTATCTGATTACTTCCATACGTGCTCTCAGAATCCGCATGGCCTCTGAACACCTGCAATTCTATTATAAACTGACGTATAATTCTAAATCAACGGTCTACACACGCACAAATATCATTAAACTTAATCATCTATTTTAAGATAAACTTGCCGAAAGGGATACAAAGACCTCTTTTTTAACACAACTGATGAACATGTTGACGATGGTCTCACGAGTTTAGTTAGGTATCACAATTACTCGCATTATGACTTTATTTTATAAATGCGTAGGCATGGCGTAAAAATGCAGTCGGGTAATAACCCTTTAGGATGATGTGAAGGACTGGATAAATTTTAATATCTGAACCCTACTTAACCCATCACAAACCAGGTGAACGTAGAACAGGAGAGTAAGATCGCTGAACGCCTCATTTTCAGTTAGGATTGACATTTAGGTAATCTGTATTCGTCCGTTCCGCCTGTAAGCTATAGACGGACTTAGTGGGGAAATTAAAACAAATGTGGATCATATATATATGGTTCAGGGCAGAGAGAGAGAGAGGCGAAGAGGGAGACAGAGAGACAGAGAAATATACAAGGGGGGAATAAAGTACTAGTAGCATACATTTGACACAGTGGTAGCAAAATAAAAATAAGGGGTGTGCGTGCGTGTGTATTTGTGCGTGAGATGAAGAAGGGAGAGACGGAGGCAGAGAGAGAGAGAGGGAGAGAGAGAGAGAGAGAGAGAGAGATGAAGGAGGGGGAAGGAGGAGGGGGAGGAGAAGAGGGGGAGGTAAGCTCTGGTTATCAAGTGTCCTTGTTTCCCAAGTCATAGATAAGTCTTTCTACAACTTGGAAGTCGCTAAAATTGGACTCTGTTGGATTATGTGCATGATCGGTTTGTTAAAAAAAGAATTATACTAAATTCGTGGTAAAGACTTGATAGATTATAACTGCCCTGGTTTTATGATAAATTATTAGAGTTCTGATTTAATGTATTGCATCTAGGGATTGCATCTAGGGGTCGGTTGTACTCAGGCAAGGCTAATTTTCGGATCGTTACCATGGCAATACCATATGGAAACTAATCGCCTATTAGATGCAAATCATACGTAAAGCGCAGTAATTTAGTCGGTATAAAGCTGTTCTATTGTCAGTTACTTCTCATATCTTATTTCAATTGTGATATGGAAAACTATTCGTGTACAATCGATGATGAAATAAATGACAATAGGTGATAATAACGATGGTAATGATGATGGTAATAAAGGGGGGGGGGGGTGATGATTTCTTAGTCCATACTGCAGAAACGGTATGACTCCTGTATTCAAGCTTATTGGAATGCAGTAGTGAAGGGGTTAAGGGGTCTTTTGAAGGTGGCAAAACGAATTATTTCTCTGATGCGAGATAGGATGTTGAACGTTTTCTGTGCATTCACTGTAAAACGATTTTCAGTTGATGAGTGTCTGCTGATGACTATGGTGATTATGATGATGACGCCCACGATGATGGTGGCGTTAACTGATGTCCAGGAGATGATGGAGGTGGTTGAATGAATATTGTTTTCTTTGTTATTGTTAATTCATGTGTAACAATAGCTATGATTTTCTTTGATTTAAGGCGTGTTAATGTCGATTGTCAATGTCGATGGGACGAAACTTCAGTACTAAAGTATTTTTTTTTTTAATCAAAGCCACTTTTCGTCATTATGCATATGCCAACCACTGTAAACGAAATACGGTTAAACTTTACATACAGGTTTTTTAATATTAATTTCTTTATTTTTTCATTCTCAATGATCCTAGCCGATCATTTACCCGCGATGGATATTGGTGTTTCTAGCGACCCCTACGTCAAGATATCCCTTGAACCTGATGAGGAAAGAAAGATTAAACAGTCTGTAGTACAAGTAAGTATATATTTCCAAATAATGCTTAAATGGAAACCCAATGGGATGATACAATACATTAAATGTATCTACAACGCACTCTTGCTTACCAAAAAACGGTGACACACAGTGTTAGTAAAATTATTAAAAAAAACACTTAGGCATATTTAAAAAAAAAAGGTAATATCTATACAATTATTATTAAAAGTTATTTCATAAACATCGTACGACACGCCATTTATCGGTTGATCCCTGAATTTCCATAAAAAAGAGTATACTCCTCAAATAAAGATTGCATTGATACAAATGATTTACTATGATTTCATCGCATCTCTTTCTCTCGCTCTCTGTTATTTTTTAAAATATTTTTTATCCCTCTCTCTTATTACAAAGGCGGACTCTAAACCCGGTGTGAAATGAAATCTTCAAGTTCCCTACAACATATGAAGAGCTGCAAGAAAAGACCGTCCGATTTTCAGTCTTTGACTTTGATAAGTTTTCCCGCCATGATGCAATCGGTGAGGTATTGGTCAGGATCAATGACGTAGATGTGTCACGTGAGCTGGATGTGTGGAGCGAACTCAGGTCACCGCAGTCGGTAAGATCACGTGATGTATTGCATACATCGCAAACTGATGTTGCTATTAAAAGGCTACATCAATTAGCAGCTATTCTTCTTACAGTGAACAAGTTCGTAGATGGCACATGACCCCCAAATATCCGCAAATCTTTTGACCATGGAAAATGCCCGCCTTTGAAAGGAATCGTTGACATTTATTTAATCAACTTCTCAATTCTAGACACTGAACGTAATTACTTACACAAAAAGGAAACACGTGTTTTCTTAAAATTCCGTTTTATATTTTAGGGAATTTAATACCGAATCTGATGTACCAAGTCACAAAATGGAGGATTTCCATCATTAATAACCAATCTTGGATACACCCCTCAATACACACACACACACACACGCACGCACTTACTTACCCCACATATATTATCAATGTAAGTACACAAGCGGCACAACATGAAACCCCACATTCAATAACATTTTGTTTAATCTAGCGGTGGGGAAAATAAAATAACGAAGGGAAATCAAGCAAAGAAATGAACTGACAAAAAGAAACTTGAGACAAACAAAAATCAAACTTGATATGAATGAGATAATAAAGCAAAAGCAATTGTTTCGATTGTTCGGTTCTTCTTTCTGCGTAAACATATAAAAAAGCGGGCCAGGAAGTCTGATGTTTTCTTTCTGAAAAGCAGACAATATCTAAAACAAAAATAACACTTTAGCAATTTTGTGTATTCTAGATCCAAATATTGGATTGAGAAAAACTGCTGGGAGAGGAACTACAGCGTCTCAGCTCTCAAATATAAAACATTTTCCTTTGCGTTTTCTGTTCATATGTTACAAACTGGTGGCAAGATGGTTGAAAAGCAGACGATATCTGAAACAAAAATAACACTTTAATTTTTTTGTGTATTTAAGATCCAAATATTGGATTGAGAAAATTGCTGGGAGAGGAACTACACCGTCTCAGCTGTCAAATTTAAAACATTTTCCCATGCGCTTTCAGTTCATATGTTAAAAACTGGTTCCAGATGAGTGCAACTGGCAAGATACCCGCTGAAGCAGGAAACAATATTCATCTATCGATATCCATTTCATATTGACTGCTTCCCCCGTGCGATCCCGCCATCAATCCTCCCAAATAAATCGTACATTCCGATCAAATTGTAAGAAGTCTTATTATAGTTCAGTGTGCCATGATACATTCTCTAGGGCAGCACTATAGAAATCGATACAATACTGATCAGAAATTCAAGTAACATCTGCCGTCCAGCCCTCGAGGTGTTCACCAGGGCTCGTTCACACATTCATCTATTCACTTTAATATCAGACCTGTTTACATGGATAGATACCTTCAATTCATACGAATGTCGCACGAAGGAAGTCTTTATATAAACACGCCAGACTATATGCTTTTTTCCAAGAAAGACATGAAAAGGGGTACAACATATACGATACATTGTAATATACTAATAATTAATTTGTGTTTTTACCAGGGCAGTCTCCTCAGTACAAAAAGACTGCTTTACAAGAGAGCTATGAATACAGTACATGATACAATTAAAATACAATGTCCAACAACTATAGAATAACTATAACACAATATTACATTACTTTACTTAGGGGGGGGGGGGGGGGGGGGGAGGAGGGGTGAAATGGATTTAGGTTCTTGTCTTCTTTAGTATTTTATAACAGGTTAGTGTAACATAAGAGGTAATCCTTTCTTCAAAAACAAGGCAGATGGTTTGATAATAATTTCTCAAGGGAATATCCCTTTTCTTACTTTTTTAAATAAATTCTTCTCTACTTGATTTTATTGATTTGTTCTTTCATCATGTTCTTCCATCAGTCACTGTAGACTAATTGAAAACCAGTCTTAAAATTTAACCTGTTTACCCTTTTTTCATTACTTGCAATAATTATTTAATTCATAATTGATATTATTATCAATACTATATTCATTTGTCCTTTTCCTCTTCTTATTTTCCTCTTATTTTTCATTTCTTTTCCATTATTTTCTTCTTAATATAATAATAGATAAAAGATGCCCCCGTCTTCCGAACCTACACCTCTGGTTCAAGATGCATTATAGGAGCAATAAATGAAAGACGATATAAATCTTGATTTCTTTATGACATTATTATTATTATTAATTATTTATAACAAGTCCAAGTATCCAGAATACCTCCTATTAACTGTTCCCCAGACTACCTTGCTTATTATCTCAAATGCTCGACGTAAGATGTTTTTATTTTTATATTTTTCCAATCATTTTCTTATCCGCAACAACATTATTATTGAAATATATCTCATATTTCAAAAATCGTAATTTAATTGTAATGAAAGTTTTTTCGTAAAAAAAAAATAAAATAAAAAATAAAATAAATAAATAAATCATATTACAATAACAAATCAAGATATTATTGGCTTGTTTTCAGAGAAAGGAGGAACTCGGTGACATTTTGTTTTCAGTCAGCTATCTGCCTACAGCTGAGAGACTGACGGTTGTGGTGCTTAAAGCTAGGAATCTTAAAACAATGGACATCAATGGAAGCTCGGGTAATTCATGATTAAGGCTTCCTTAACCCATTTTTTCCCCTAAAGTTTAATGAATTAGTTTCCCCTTTTTCAATTGATTCAAAATTGTTTGTATTTTTCAAAATAGTTAAAAATATTTTTTAAATGTCTATTAAATGAAACAGTGTGAATGTAAATTAGGCAAAGGTAAATGAAAATTGTATTATAAATGTCAACCTCTTTGGAATATCTGTCTCTACATATGTTAACGTTGTATCACATTGTTTAAAAACAATGTAGAAGTCTTTTTCGCATGAAAAAGGATGTAGAATGAACTCGTAATGCGGTTACATGTTGGGATTTTTCTCAAATTGTCATTATTACGAATACATGCTATCCCGAATGTCCCTGTTTTCATAAAAAAAAATTGAAACAGGGATAATGAATATGAAGACGTATCAACTAGCCTATTCAACCTGTGATTCGTTTACTCTTTACCTCATCCCTTGCAAAATATAAAATTAATTATAAGTGAAGAGAACGTGTATAGTGCTGGTAAATGGCGCTGTTTTAGTATATTTATCGTTTTGATATTGTTTTCACAATGTAGTATGAAATCTCGTATATGGTTAATTTATTTAAATCAGTCGTGAAACTATACAAACAGCTGTGTTATGTGCGGCGAGCGTTTTAGTAGGGAGCGTCAAATAATTGGAAATTCGGATGATACGGAGCCCATTCCATCTTAAAATATGCAAATCATAATAATGATAAGAGGAAAACTTGTTCTTAATATAATAAAGCATTACATCATTAAAACTCATGCATGAGAACAATTTGTAAATTCGCATTGAGTTTGACTATCTGGGAAGTGCTTTTCGAATATGATATTACATAATATCCTAACGATGCCGGCTGCCTTAACGTTTAGTTGAAACACGGTCAAACGAAACACTTTTTTCAGTCTAATTATTTAATTGTTTTGTCACCGCTTAGTAGTTTATTTATTTTTTTATAAATATCATTAGTTTTTTTTATTTTTTTTTAAAATATATTTGTCTATTTATTAATTCATGTATTTATCTATTCATCAATTCAAATCGTATTTTTTTATTTTCATCTTGTTTATAGATCCATTCGTGAAGGTGTCCTTGCTTCAGGGAGGCAGAAGGGTGAAGAAAAAGAAAACCAGCGTCAGGAAATGCAACTGCAATCCGACATGGAACGAGGCTATAATATTCAACGTACCTGCTGCTGCACTCAACGCATGTAGCTTAGAGGTAAGGCTGTATTCCCGTACGAGTTTCGTTCAGGGGGTGTTTCACAAAGATCCTAAGTTGAACTTATCTCTAAGTTGGACTTAACAATTATTGAAAGCCGTTAGCATCATTAAAATGTTTTGTAAACGATATTTTAAAAGGCATAAAATGTTGATTCAAATCATTCATATTTTGTATTATCAAGGAGATTTCATGTTCTTGATGTGGAAGTTATGAAAAATCTTAAATACTTAAATTTTTGCATTTGGAAATATTTTATTTTAAGGCTACAAATGGCTCTCCATAAATTTTGAAGTCCAACTTAGAGTTAAGTTCGACTTAGGATCTTTGTGAAACGTCCCCAAGATTTATATCGTGCAAAATTAATGGGAAGAAGGGCAAAAAGGTTCTACGCGTATTCACTGAGCTTTGTGCTATAACACATATTTTTCTTTTTTTTAAATGATATTTTATTTCCTTCCCATAATTTCACATAACAAGAAATTCACATAACAAGAAATTATCAAATTAAGCAATATAAAACAAGATCTTTGATACAAGACACTTCATGAGTTACATCAATCAATGAACATAGAAAAAAAAAATTCTTGCATGTAACAGTGTATAATCAAAATAACAGTAGAGGAAGGTTTAAAGTGTAGATTTTTTTTTGTTTTAAATGATATTTTATTTCCTTCCTCATAATTTCACATAGCAAGAAATTTACATAGCAAGAAATTATCAAGATAAGCAATATAAAACAAGATCTTTGATACAAGACATTTCATAAGTTACATTAATCAATAAACATAGAGGGAAAAAAAGGAAAAAAAAGAAAGAAAGTCTTGCATGAAACAGTGTATAATCAAAATAACAGTAGAGGAAGGTTTAAAGTTACATATTACCATCCTATCCCAACACTCTCACACCCCCCCCCCCCCTCTAGCCCACCCACACCACACCCCCTTTCACACACATAAACAACCATACAAACACAAACACACACTGCATGCAACCTGTTCCCTCAACTCACACCACACAAACTCTCCACCCCCCCCCCCTAGCCCACCCATCTCACACCCCCTTCACGCCGACACACACGCTGCATGCAACCTGTTCCGGTTTGTCCACCTGTACACGAGAGAGAATTAATAATACTACTAATAATAATAATACCCACAAAATACCCACATCCATTAAGGTAAAAATGCATCGATTTGTTCCCATTTCTGTAAGTGCATCCCCATTTTCCCCTTTTTGAAGGCTATTTTGTTTTCCTCGTCTCTGTAATTTTTAAGCATATGTACTGTTTTCTGTACAGATGGCAAAGTTCCTTCTTTTCTAGAAATAAAAATGATATACTTTACTAAAATTATGATACAATTTATTACAAATATTCTAGTAGTATTGCCGGATATTCCCATGAATATTGGTTTCCAATCATCAATGTCAATTTCGATTAAATGTAACTTTTGAATTACCTCCTGCCATAATCTTTTAACTTTAAGACAATCTAAAAATAAATGTTGGTATGTCTCTACTTCTAGTTTACAAAAGGAACAAACATGGTCTGACTCAAAACCAAATTTAAAGAGCTCTCTTTTCGTATATACAGCCCCTTGTAATTGTTTGTATTGAAACTCTCTATGTTTATTACAAAGCATTGCACCTTTCATCCTTGTGAATGTTTCTTTCAACTCCGTCTTTCCAAGATCAAATTGACAGTTGCCATCTGTAACATGTAATGTATACTCATTTTGAAGGTCTTCAATGAAGTAATCATATAACCGCCTAGATTTTATATCACATAGTTTCTGTAAACGTCCAAATATCATCAATTCTATTTCAAAATTTTCAGTGTCTACTTCCATAAAATCACTTTGTATCCATTCGTTTCTGATTGCTGAAAAGATCTTTTGAATTCTAAGCAAGCTTTTAGTTGCAAAACCCGAATTTAAAAAATGTAAGATCGGTTTTAAATGACCTCTGACAATTATATCTGATGCTTGAAGTATACCTTTCTGAAATAGTTCGACATCAAAAAATGTTTTATTGCTGAGACATATACACTTATTGCTAAATATAATCGGATTATTCTTATTTTCTCCAAAGTGTCTGCATTTATCTAATTCTTGCCATGCCTTCAACATGTCTTTATAAAAAGATGGTATACCCTTCAAGTCCATTTTATTTATATCATAATTACAAAGAAATATGAGTCCCCCAGCGCAGTAATCTTGATATAAAATTTTCCGTTTTATTCTGTCTCTCCCTCCCCAAATAAAATTAAAAGAAATCTTTTCGATTTCTTCAAAAATGTTTTGTGGGACTGTCATAATAGACGAAATATAATTTAGTTTTGAAAATACATATATCTTCAACAATTTAATTTTGCCAAACATCGTTAAATCTCGTTGCTTCCACCAACCGATTAGTCTTTTGATTTTGCTCAAAATTTCCTTATAGTTCAAAATTAATCATCTTTTATTTTGGAATGACGTGCGAAATATACCCCTAGGATCTTTATATGTTGTACCCTATGTCCAAAAAAAGGTAAACCTGGCCTATCACTTTCCTCTCCTAACCACATAAAATTTGTCTTATCCATATTTATCTTCAATCCACTTATTTTTTCAAAGTTTTTGAAAACTTTCTTCACTTTATTAATTGAATCCATATCTTTTAAAAACAATGTAATATCATCTGCATACAAAACTTGCTTTATTTCTTTATTCCCGAATCCTACCCCATTAATGCTCTCATCTTTCCTAATATAACGAGCTAGTACTTCGATAACTATTACAAATAAATATGGAGATAGGGGGTCGCCTTGTCTTACCCCTCTATTAATTCCAAAATATCCTGTTGAGTGTCCCCCGTTCATCACGCAACTGCTAACATTAGTGTAGAGGGTTTTAACCCAAGAACACAAAACTTTACCAAACCCAAACTGTTCCAAAGCTTTAAATAAAAGTTTATGGGAAATGCAATCGAAAGCCTTTTCAAAATCTACGGCAATTAAAAAGCCTACAGGCTGATACAAGGACTGAAAGAATGTATCATCAATTAACCGAACCGCTTCCCCAATATTCCGATATTTAACATAGCCCACCTGATCGTAATGAATAATATCCTCCAATACCTCCTTTACCCTTGTAGCTAATACTTTCGACAATATTTTATAATCTACATTTAAGAGAGTAATTGGCCTATAGTTTTTCATGTACAACGGAGCTATATGTACACATATAGCTCCGTTTAGTCTCATTTCACATCGCCCCCTATCGTCAGAGTCAGCAGCCATACACGTTAGCCTATGGAATTGTACAAAACAAATCGTTAACAATTCATTTTTTGTTTAAACGAAAAGCACATCCACCCAAACTTACGTTATCACAAGCTCTTTCATTGGAACCCTCATGTCCCATTGACTTTTGAAAGTTCACCCACCGTAATTTGATCAAAATAGGTGGCAAGCTCGTCATTGCCTATAATACACATGTGAAACAAGTCGAACTTTGGACTCAGTTTGCCAAGCGATTTTAAGATTATAGGTCAAGCACACGAAGGATAAGAAGCATGAATTATCATAGATCACTTCTGCTTGGTCCATTATGTCCATTTCATCCAACCCCCCACCGTAATTTGTCCATTTAATAAAAGCAAACATTTTGCCGAGGTAAGCAAAAACATGAATATTCATGAACGGTCAGACAATATAGCCTTTTAGTACGTAAGGTGTAGTGAACGGGAATGGGCGATGATCCGTCCAGGAAGTAGAGGTCAGTGGTTTGTGCTGGCAATGTTCCAGCGAGGGAAAATGGGAAAATCGAAGCAATATGGATACAAAAATATGAAGCCTATACATTTACCTCATAAAAAAGACCACCGTGGTCTTCCATTTAATATCTAAACGAGTCTAGAAGGGCAATCCAACCATTTATTAAGCTCATTTGTATGAAAGCAGAAAAAATAAGAGAAACAGAACGGAGATAGTTTTTAATAAGTCGGACAAACAATAAGACGGTTATGATGTTTTAACTATGGGATACGTTCAGCACCTATGTGAATCTGAAATTGGCAATGCTTTCAGTGGATAATGACGTTGTGACAGAGATCTCTCCTTTTTTTAGTGTACACAAATATTAGTAATATTTGTTTATCCTCCTAATGCCTTCTTCATTTGGGCACTACTCACATATATTATGGATAATAAATTTCCGTAGGTCCTCTGAATAAGGACCTTGAAGAAAAAAAAACAGATGCGAAAATTTTTCGGACCTACATAACAGTGACATGACCGATTCAGCCAATTAAAACTTCCATATGTATAGTGACCAAATCTTTCCAAAAGTCATACATTTCTTATTTTTGTCAGATTTTGTTTGAACTATCGCCAACTGCTTCTCTGATTCTTCTACTTTCTTTTGGATTTTTTGTCTATCAAGGCTGAATATCTCATTAAGCATTAAAATAAATTATCACCAGTGCGGTATCCAGACAAATGCCGGTTTCGGTAGGGGGAGGATGGGGAGGGGGATTAGTGAACTTCGAAATCTAAAAGTTGGGAGTTCCCTTGTTGTATGCGAATCTCAAATATTGTGAATGAAGTGTACCATTGAAAATATTTTCCATTTCTACATAGAAAAGGCGATGACTCTACTAAGGTTCGAGTTGTTGTTAGTAGTGGAGGTAGTGTAAGTAGGCCTAGTAGTAGTAAAATTAGTAGTGATCGTAGCCGTAGTGATAGAATAGTAAAAGAAAAGTAATAGAAGGGAAATAATTACATGCAGTAAGAGGAAGAATAGGAGCAGTATCTATTTGTACTCATGATAAGTATACTCCATAAACAAAAAGAATACATACTTTATTTGAAAGAAGACAAAAACTATATTTTATTAATTGCATTTCAGCTGATCGTGATGGACTATGATCTTCTGGGTCAATGTGAGAAGATAGGAGAAACAGTGGTTGGACCTCATTCCGGAGGACTCGGCCAGGACCAATGGACTGAGATGGTCCAGACTCCAAGGAAACCGGTATCAGTATGGCACACGCTGAGACCATGAATCAACCCATTCCACAAGAATCCTTCCGATTGATGTTGATAGATTAGCAACAAACTCCTGCCATGTGCCACAAGCCATGTCACAAGTCATTCAATTGAAGTAACTTTAGGTTTCTCAACTCGTCACCAAGTTTGAGGACAAGTTTCACGAATGAATTATACGAGTGAGATTTCAATTCATTAAACTCTATTTCACTTCGCTTAATTAACAAATTGTACGTACAACAATATTTGCAGGTTACATATTCCAAACTGAACCTGTATCTTTGCTCGAAGAAAAAAACATCGACGTTAGTTTAAGCAAAGCGTATAGGTCAACACAATGGCACGGAAGGGGCCATAGCCTGTAAATGAAAGATCAAATAATGAGAATCAGACAAAAATTAATTCAAGTCATTGCGGGAATAATGGCATTTTGAGCGTCCCTAATTGATATCAGATGTCAGAGTGTGTTCATCGATGACCCTGGTACTCCACGTTATGTCAGCCACTGTGTACGGATACGACTAAATGTGTTTTGTATTTGTACGCTTCGTTAAAACCATGGGTGTACAAATAGGACACAGTTTGAAACATGTTAATATTTCATAGGACATGGTGTTTATGGTGAAATCTAAATTCAGGTATCGCTTCATATAGTGTTTAGTATTAAAGCTTTCGCAGATAAAATAATGTAGGGAAGCTTCATGGCCGCGCACTAAAATTGTAGCACTGTCTGAACATTAAAACGATTAATTTGAGAATTACAGTATTATACCATAATAATGTCGACATAAGTCCGAATCGAGTAATTCCGTTAAAGCCGACGCATTGGTCTAAGAATAACAAAAGTATAACAAAACTTCGACATCACACTAGCGTCCGTAGTTAATCACGATTTTGGACAAATGCTGAAGGCCAAACTCGGGTTCAAATTGTCAGTAGAATACGGGTCCAAAAGAACACTTTCCGTTGGCCAATCTTTTAATTGACAAACATTGGATTGCCTTGGAGAATATTTATTCGCTTAAGCTTGATTCGGGCGGCAAAGCGCTTATTAACTCACAACATTTTAGGATGAAAATGCAAATTAACAGACCAGCCGACAGCTAGACATAAATTAGTTGCACTAAAACCTTTATTTTAAAGCTCTCAACTTAAGTCGGATGACAAGACATCGGTCAGAATTTGCCGCTATGTACCTATGGGAAATAGAGGGACCCTGTGGGACACCAGATGCCTATCCGATTTTAATTCCTACGTCCCCGCAGTGATTACAAGGTAGGAGTACTCCTCAGGGAATGTAGATGGTTTATGTGCTTGATTTATTATGTTGGTTTGGTATTAACGACTGTAATGTGGAGGTGCCATGGTAAAGAAGTTCATTCACTTGACCCTCAGTCCGAGGGTTGATGGTTCGAATCCTAGCGCGGCATTGCCGTAATCCACATCTGCCACTTAACCCCAGATGCAAATGGGTACATGGAAACTGTTGTGTGATAGTAATTGCAGGGCCCTCAGGAAGAGCAGCATTGATGCGACGAGGTTTCCAATGAAAAACAAAATTATTATAATTATATTATAATGTACCAAAGACAGTATGAATCCCGTTTACCTACATATGCACAAATAATATGTGAAAGAAATGCATCAAACCCTTTGAAAATTAATCTATTGTGTCCTCAGATACCTAGGACTCACATGAATTTAATGATAGTTTTCCGAAGTAATATTTCTATTGCATAGAGGTGTTGAAGTCTAGTGGATACGTCTCCTGACTGTACAGCACAAGGTATGGGGTTCAAATCCACGCCGAAGCACTGCCGTCCTTTGGCCCGACACGAATCTACATTTGCTCTCGACCCAGGAATAGTAAGTGGATACCTGGCAGGATTTATTCTGTGAATGCATGGGCGTTACGGTTGCTGTGAAGCCCGGGTACTTTTCCTGGTAGCGTGCCATAGTAATTAGTCTTCTTGGGGTAGTTGTCCACCATGCCATTGATGTAGAATCTTTCGAAAGTCGATTTCCAAGATAATATACTACAATGGCGCGTGGAAACATCACAATGATGATGATAAGAAAGAGAAGAAGAAGAAGAAAAAAAGAAGTAAAAGAAGAAGAAGAAGAGGAAGAAGAAGAAGAAGAAGGGAAAAGAAGAAGAAGAAGGAAAAAATTATAAGAAGAACAAAAACAACATTGGATATTTCTATAGCCCACGTATCCATCACGCAAGTTACCCATTATAACGCCAGGGGTGGAGAGTGGCAAATGAAGATAAATGCCTTGTCAAAGGACTCAGACTGCAAACCATGTTATACATAGTTCGACGACGTATCCACTAGAGAATATAAAGCATATAATCTCATGGATTATAGACACCTCCCAAAATAGAAATCATGATAATTGTTTACGATGAGGCTAAGTTTTGTGAATGATCTGTGTTGCCTCTTAAATATTCGTATCCTGTATCGATTGTTGTTTCAAATTGTATATACTACCTCGAGTTTTACATTTTCTCGGATTTGAAATGTTTTAATGATAAATACACTGTTGGTCATAATGGTGGAATAATTATTTTACCCCAGTTTAGGGAAGGATTTTAAAAAATTATTTATTTCTAATAGATCTAGATAATGGCATACATTCTCAGATTTTATTGAATATTAATTTGCGAGTGTTTGTTTTGCGTGACTGTTAAATCATATGTATGCTACTATGCTAATCAGCTAGGGAACCTACGTCCTTAAATCATAATTGACAGTAATGGGGATTAATGCCTCACAACAGGGCACTAATATATAGCTGATCGACACGATTTTTATCCTGGGGCCTCACAGTAACGAGGCCATTGCTTAGCCCCTGAATTATGACTGTACGCAGTGTTTGCTAGGGTACGCGGCCCCTTCCACAAATCCCCCAAAACGAAGAAAATGCAATAAATTGTCAAAAATTCATTGTATTTTCCCCCGGCCCCCAACAGAAAAATTCCTCTGTAGGGCCATGCATTATGGTTCAAGGCATGGCCACACAGAGGAATTGTTCCTGTTGGGGGCCGGGGGAAAATGCAATGAATTTTTGACAATTTATTGCATTTTCTTCGTTTTGGGGGATTTGTGGAAGGGGCCGCGTACCCTAGCAAACACTGCGTACAGTCATAATTCAGGGGCTAAGCAATGGCCTCGTTACTGTGAGGCCCCAGGATAAAAATCGTGTCGATCAGCTATATATTAGTGCCCTTTTGTGAGGCATTAATCCTCATTACTGTCAATTATGACTTAAGGACGTTGGTCCCTTAGCTGATTAGCATAGTAGCACACATATGATTAAGCAGTCATGCAAAACAAACACTCTCAAATTAATATTCAATAAAATCTGAGAATGTATGCCATTATCTAGATCTATTAGAAATAAATAATTTTTTCAAATCCTTCCCTAAACTGGGGTAAAAATAAATATTCCACCATTATGACCAACAGTGTATGTGTGGAATTTAATACATTTTTAGTGATACACGTTTCTGATTTATCGAACATTACCTATTGAAATGGCGTTTTACTGTGATTTTACATTTTATGTAAATATGAATTTACAGTCATATGATCTATAGCGATGTAAATAGAATTTTATGGTGAGTATTACGTATATATATATATATATATATATGTATACGCAGGTGAACTTAATTTCGCGATATTTTCTTTGAATATTCTTGCAAATATATAACCCACCATCTATCTAACACTATTCCATGGTATTTGGGTCTGTAACTAACTATGTCTTAACTATTCCTTAACGAGTTGGAAAGTATTATACATATTCGAAACTCTATTGCGAATCTTTGAAACGAAATATATCGATATTTGCACAGTCTATAAAGGCATTCAAAAATTAAAAGACATTACCAGAAAAACAAAAAACAAACAAGAGAAACGATGATTCCGGTTTCTTTAAGCTGAGTGTCCGAGTATTCATTCATTTTAAATCCATGAGGACCAAGAATCGCTACAAAATAGTCCACAAACAAAATAGGCCTCCACTTTTTACATTATTAACAAGACTCACGATATACTCTGGGAACTTATCGGAATTGCATGATATCCTACAAACTTACCGTCATCGTAAGCTTCCAGTGAATTCACGTTTAATCTTTTTTGAAATTATAAATTTCTGTAAATATTGTAGTATCTGTATTGATAAAGAAGATTTATTTATTGATTTCCTTCGTAAGGTATGTTCGATGTTAAATTGTATGTACGGTGCTCTTGTGTTTTAATTTCAGAATGTGATATAGTTTATTGGATAAAAGTTCTATATTTTGATGAAACAGATCTTTAAAACAAATGTTGACATGTATATCAAAACTGTATTGTACTGATATTTTACCTATTATTGAATATATTTGTTAATGTAAGATGTTTTGTTTGGAATGTTTTTTTGTGTCTATGTCTCATTGATTCTATGTAGCAGACATTTGCAAATTGTACAAACGAAGAAAACACTTTGAAATGGACTTCGATTATATTGGGAAGTCGCTTTTATGAAGTGCATTGTGTTCTTTATTTCTGTCGATTTGAGGGCTGATGGGATACCTGGCAATCGATGGGGGTAATAATGATTGCGTGGACCTCAGGAAGAACAGCATTGATTCTGACGAGGCTTCCCTGGTAAAAAAAAAAATAGTAATATTTATTTATTCATACAAGTTTTAATAAAGCAGTGTTGCCTCTTCAGTTAACAAACTGCTATCCGTGAGGGCCTTGCACACTAACAACAACGTATATAAAATATTTACAGACTTAAGTAATATTGAAAACATGACATAAGAAACAAAGATTATGCGAAACAAAATATGAATCATAACAAGAAATGTTGTGAATACAAAATGTATAGAGTCACACCAGCTTAAACATATAATCAAAACATCCAACTGATAAATTGCTAAACTGTCCAAGTACTGAATAATGCCGATGAAAGGAAAATAATGTAATTAGTAAAAGAATGTTGAGTGAAGATATATTGAGGGAGGGTAAAGAACATTTGTAAATAGAGAGTGAAATAGGAAATAAGGGTTGGGGAGGATTTGGGAAGGATAAACAGAGAGAGAGAGAGAGACAGAGAGGGAAAACAATGAAGTAAATGGGTATTAAGGAAAAATAAGTCAGCTTTAGTGAATGTCCTAGAAGAGTTTACAAGTAGGGTTCAGAAGACATGGACGAATGGGTAAAAAAAGGGAAGAGGAAGAGGAGGAAATTGGAATTGTGTGTGTGTGAGAGAGAGAGAGAGAGAGGGAGAGAGAGAGAGATAAACAGAGAGGGCGAGAGAACGAGAGAGGGATAGACAGATAGGGAAAGAGAGAGAGAGAGAGAGGGAGAGAGAGAGATAAAGAAAGAGAGAGAGAGAGAGAGAGAGAAAGAAGGAGAGAGAGAGAGAGATCGATCGGGATCTCCTGTATTTATGAACATGAACAGATAAAATAAACCTTCTACAGTCAGTGGGTTAAACATAATCTTTGAATATTTTAATTCATAATAACCCTTTTGTTGTCGTTATTTTTGTCTTTTGCGTTTCCGATATTAACATTTTCTTTCTTTATACGAAAACCTAATATAAGGATATACAAATACATTAGTCATTGCAATGATTCAAGTCTTGAAATCTGATTTTTTTTTTCTTAGATTTAGTAGTTTGTAATCCACTCAATTTTACAACTGAGATGTATAAATATATAAGTGTAAGAAAGCATAACACATCAATTTTCTTCATAAAAGAAACATTTCACGTTTTTATTGCAAGAGGGCGGTAGACCATTATGAATTACACTTCGCAAAGCAGGGTGTCTGTCGCAGTTATTATTCCTGAGTAGTAGTAGCATCATGCCTATTTTCTATGCTTCACAATATAAATATTTTGATCATTAATTATTATTCTGTCTTTAGTCATGAACATATGAATGTCGAACATCTGATCTATTTCATCAAAAACATTAGACTGAGAGTTAAACATGATTATACTAAATATATATTTATAAACATGAACAATATTTATATATATATATATATATATATAAAACAACTTTTTTTTTGGAAGGATTCATGACTGTAGAGGAAAAATATAGTTATCAAAATAAATCCACACAAAGAGAGCAAAAGTGGAGAGAGAGGGAGATAGAGTGACAAACATTGAAACAAATATGGAATTATTATTATGTTGTTGTTGTTTTTGTTATTGTTGTTTCTCCTTCTTGCCGAAACTGACGAGACCAGATAAATGTAACTGAAATCAGTTAGTTAACTTTATGGTTAAAACTATTTGCTTGTAATGTTTTTAATCAAATATTTCTAGGTACATGTCGTTGCAGGATCTCGGGTGATGTTTAATGTCTCTACCATGACAGCTCCTGATGAAATATATTTTGCATCAAACGTCTGGTAACACGAGCCTATCAGTGACAGCGTCAGCGACGCGTGGTAGGTGAACACTGTCGCGGAAAAGGCACTTCATTGCGATCGATTGCAAGAATATCTTTGTCACAATACTCGGTTCTATGTGCCGTCTACAGATAAATTCACGCGGGCTCATGCGAATTCTTGGCTGGAGCAAAACCGGGATTTTAATCAATGTTGTCTTGTACTGTGGGATGCCGTCTGGACGCTACGCAGGTACCTGGATTCTAAGTGTTTACGTGTAGGCATGCAACGCGAGGTACCTGATTCAGTAAATAACATGTGACATTGAATTCATAAACCATCGTTTGACTTTTGGATTAGAAACAAGGAGTATCAAACGAGTAAGTGGCTTTTACATATCTTTTATTGTTCTAGTTGCATGCATGATCTGTACGCATTACCATCAGTAATGTATTGATTACAATTTGATCCCATGTTTAAAAAAAGACTTTTAATTATTTCACAGGTGAACTGAGTCATGAACAATAATATAAGAGATTCGAATAATTTAACACTCATCCTACAACAGACCCATACTCTCACTGGGTACACATAATATTGAATTGCTTGGAGTGAGTATTTAAGCCATGTCATAAAAAGAATTACATGATGTCAGAGTTAGACGATGTTATAATTTAATAAATTATAATAATTGATGGGTGTCGTGGTTTGT